AAGATGCATGACAGAGTGGGTTAGAGAATGGTGTACGGCAGCCTTGCTCCATTGGGAGTAACAGTCTTAAGTAAGTAAGTAAGTACATTAAATTATCAAAACGGTTTTCGTGATAGTATAATAATTTTATAGTTGAGATCATGAATCAATTGGAGCTAGATCACTATGGTAAACCTGGAAGCACTGGATGACCGTTTCTTCCTATATGTGACTTCTCAACAGTGAGCGTCCACGACATTCAAATCCAGAACCTATCGATCCTGAGTTATTAAAATCTCTACAAAACCCGCTTTCTCATAATACATATCAATCATTGTATATATGAATGTTAAGTTAGTATATTGTCAATGTTATTAATCATATGCTACTTACAATTGTTGTAATGATCGCCAACGACACGAGAAGAGATATAACGAAATACAACTTCATGTTATGCAAATAATAATACAAACTGTAATCAAGAATAAATGCTTATATACTATGATTTATTATTATATTATATCCAAACAGAATCCTTCCCCCCCCCCACCCCGTTCACATAACTTACACAGAAATACTTCTAAAAATGTTATACATTCTTTAAGATAAATTTTTGTTACCATAACGACAGATATGCACTTTATCCATTTATCATTTTGTACATACCAAATATGTTATCTAGGCACATTTATACAATAAGTTGAATTCAACGCCTACTGTGATGAAAGAAATAGCGGAACATATAAGGTAAAAGTTTAATCTACAACAACAAAGTTATTCAAATGAGTTAACAATAAGAAAAACTTAATTAGTGATAACCTGATAAATATAGAATGGTGTTACCCATCGTGACCTCATAACACGATTTAATTACTATCTTGTTACCAAATTAGTATTATGATAAAATATTATCATAATTTAACTCTGAATTATGCGAAAAATTGACGATGTTGTTGATAAGCGGCAAATAAAAACAATTTGTTTGACAATATTTCATTTCAATTAAATCATTCACTGATATTGGATCCATTTCATAGATATATTGGATCTGATAAGAAATAGAAAGTGATCAGATTGATAAAGTGTTCATTGATTTCATATATCATTGACGGGTTGAAATTGCCACCACCGCAACCACCGCAACCACCGCAACCACCGCAACCACCGTCACCACCACATGAAAATCAAACATAGTCAATAAGATCAAGTGATGTGTATGAAATAGATGATCGGTGAACTTGAGAATGATGAAGAAGAAGTTGGAGATATGAACATGACACTAAAAGACAAAACCAACAACAACAACAACAACAACAACAACAACAACAACAACAACAACAACAACAACGAGTAAACACTGTTAGATGGTATTAATCACTGTTACTCCTCATGGAGGAGCATGGGCCGCCCACCACCACTCCCCATCCAACCATGTCTTGGACAATCCTTTCCAGTTATTTTTCATTCTTTTCATATTTGCTTCTATTTCCCGACGTAATGTGTTCTTTGGCTTTCCTTTTCTTCGTTTCCCTTCAGGATTTGCCTCGTCATGCAGCTTTGTGGTTTCCATAATGTATGTCCTATCCACTTCCATAATCTTTTTCTACTTTCCTCTTCAGTTGGAAATTTGTTTGTCCTCTCGTACAGAAGGCTTTTGCTGATGGTATCCGGCCAATGGATGTTGAGTATCTTGCGTAGAGAACTATTCATAAATAATTATAACTTCTTGGTGATGGTTGTGGTAGTTGTCCAAGTTTCAGCTCCATACAGTAGAACTGTGATGACGTTGGTATTGAAGATTCTGTCTCTGATATTGGTTGAAAGTTGTTATGAGTTCCATATGTTTTTCAATTTTAGGAATGCGGCCCATGCTGGTATAAAGAGACTGTAAATGCTCTATACTTTACAGTGGTATCTCAAATGTGAACCATTAGTGATTAACGTTGCCAACAAATTAGTTAATTGATCTTCACAAAACAGCTTCATTTAAAATTCTTGGTTTATTTAAACACTGTAGTACATACAAGAGTAAAACTATGTCATACTATAATGACATGAAATTCTAGAGGGTTTATACAAGTACTTTCATTACCATCGTTCACGATTGTGAATGCTTCAATATTCGAAGCCAAGATATGTTGTTAGAAAGTACTGAAATCCGGTGTATCAATACATATATGATCTCACCAAAGAACATTCATGTATCAAGTAGACGATAAAATGCCGACATTTATATAAATCACTTCAAAATGCATTTCCTTTATCAGTAACAACTATTTCAATCATCTGGAAGAGACCAGCAATCAATCCATTCTCCTCATGATCGAATCAGAACATTTGTAACAAATGGAATATTTCAGTAGGAATGTATCTAACTATGATACTGAATAACGTGAATTTAACTCACAAAGATAACAACTTTTGTGTCATTATCTAACTATATGGATCCATACAGATCTTTTACACTTAGCATAATTGTCAACATTGGTACTGATAGTTATTATGCATAGTTACATTCCATTACACAAACCTAACTACTATACTAACACTAAGACTCGATGGGGTTAAACAGATCAGGAATTGTTCCACTTTTCATAAGTACTGAAAGTGAATTGTTACAAAGTACACACTGTACATGAATATATGTTCTACTGTACACTTATGTTTTACTTTCCATGATATTTCTGACCATTACATGAATAGTAAAACAAAGATCAATTGCACAAACATCATGATTCATAGATTTTCGTTCAAAGTCACTGAATCTACATTGTACTCATATTGTTGTTTCAAAGAGTATTGGAACAATATAACATAAGTAGGTTGAATCTGTGACAAGATGAGTGTTAGACAGATTAAGTAACAGGGTTACGTTCTTATTTCGTAAGCAGTTTGTTGTGTATTTTGTCATGGCTATTCAAGACAGTAATGAGTTTGATTAACGACATTTATTGAGATCGAATATCATTTGGATTAGTGACAAAATTCATCAGCATAATCGAGATCAGTGAAGATAATACTCAAGATTAATAGATACGAAGAGGATTTCCAACAGAGTATATCTGTATACATCAACTAGATAGATGGTCTTCGTAACACAAAACTTGTATGTTTACACATCTGTCTTACCTCAAACATTTGCGGTAAATACAAGAATTGATTTCACCTGATATAATTGACTTAAATCTTCCCATTGACGTTTAAGACTGCGATTGATCAGTCTTTTGTTACCAGATGTGTGTTACCTTTGCGGACTGCCTCGATATTGCCTCAAATCACAAGCTTTATAAGTAAGGATGGATAGCGGCTAGCACTGGAATCTAGGTCATGCGTTTCATCCTATTTGGGATTCATCTACTGGATGTACATGCGTCTCAGAGTTGATGTTCATCCCGGGACTCGAACACGGTAACGTTCGCTTCGAACATCATTGTGTTATCCATTTCTTCAACCACTGACGGGATAAACACTTAAATGTATCAATCAAAGAGTGAGAACCAGTCGTAAGAAACAGAAATCTCATAATTGTATCGAAAACCGTAACCAAGTATTTCGATTTACTAAGATTTATAAAACGTAAATAGAAATAATCTCTAAAATACTCTGTTTATTACATAAAACAAAGAAACGTTTCATGTATAAATAAACAACGACATCCCTGTCTCTACTTAAGTGTTCAATACAGACCTCCTGTCAATCTGACATACAGGTGGTTGTAGACACGTCATTCCGTGTAAATGAGATTCCATAAGCTTCTTGAACAAACCGAATGATATTCACAGACTTGAATCGATGTTTTATCAAATGTGCGGTTTCAGGTTAAGAAACGCCTCTTTATCAACATGCTATGCCTCCATTAATCTACTTTATCAAGACGTTAAGACCTGGGAAACTTCACTGACCTGAAACGGACGAATGACTGAAGTGTTCTGCGGACAAACAACCATACTGGGCATGAAAAGCTGTCTACAGCACGAAACTACCAAACTTCTTGCGACACTTCTACAAACGTTATAAATCAGACCAGCATGTACACCATGCTCGACTTGTTTGATTTCATCAGAATAGGGTTGTGGAGATTATCATGTTTTCGATTGAGATCATGAACCTAAAAGTGTGAGACCACCATTGCGAAAGTGGAAGCACTGGACGGCCGCTTCGTCTTATTGTAGGACTCCTCAGCAGTGCGCATCAACGATTTCGATCGCCGGATTTGAACATAATGGACCCAATAAACCCAGTAGAGCTAATCCGTGTCGGGTAGAGACAGGTATCTACCTCAGTACAATGGAAGATTGTGGCGCAATTTTGTGGATTGGTTGAAGTTAGACATTAACACCGTTGGATGCCAGCTGATCCAGTGATCTAAAGGTTAAGCATTCGTGCGCGAGATTGTTTGACTTCATCTATTCAGTCATCAACATTGACGATGTTATTAGGTGTTATTTCATTCTTCACCAATATTGACCGTACTGAAAGCAACAATTTGGATATCAGTCTTTTAATACATCCACCGTAACTACTTGTACGATTCGCTTTCCATATACACTTTCAACCTATTAATGAATCGTATAGACAAAGTGATGATGCAACGATAGGCACACCACTCAAGCCCACCCCAGTTAACATCCAGTAGTCAGTCTCGAGAACACGACTTTTCGACTCACAATTTACATTTCCCATTTATATACGAGATATACGTATGCAACATTCGTCCTTCAGAAGAAAACTAATAACTCAATTTCACACTACACAAATCAATTGTCGGTCGTCTGTGGATTCACTTGACAATATGTCGTAGACGAATTTGAAATTTCCCTCAATTGATATTCTTATGAATAGAATGTCCATTAGTTTCGTAAAAGTTCGTTGGAAATCTCACATTGAATAAACATTGAATAAACATTTCAAAATCATCCATAATCTCAGACATTTGAACTCAGAAGCATTACAATTTAATGATTCACATACTTTATCTGTCCAAACAATTCAACAATTTGAACTGAACTCTCAACGATAAAGCACCACATGATAACTTGCATTCTATCATCACCATATAACAATCAAACTTCTTCGATACTATGCAGTACCTGAGAAAATCGTCAACATCATACGTAATTCATACAACGGACTACACTACAAAGTCGTGTATGGAGCACAGCTGACAGATACATTCCAACCAAGCATCGGAGTCAGAAAAGACTGTCTACTTTACCGCTTCCTCATTATTTCAGTGGTCGGGTGGATTATGAAGACCTCCACGTCTGAGGGAAAACACGAAATACAATGGACAGCTCAGAACCAATTAGACGGTTTGAAATCCGCAGATGACCTAGCCTTCCAATCCCATAAACACTAACAAATGTAGATAAAGGCATCCAGTGTAGCAGCAGTCCCTTCATCAGTAGGCCCCAACATACACAAGAAGAAAAACAAGGTCCTAAATTACGACACGAAGAACACCAATACAATCACTCTTGATGGCGAAACTGTGGAAGATGTGGAATCCTACACCTACGTGGGATGCATCATCGATGAACAAGGAGGATCGGATGCCGATGTCAAGACGAGGATGTGCAAAGCATGGGCCGCATTCCTAAAATTGAAAAACATATGGAACTCATAACAACTTTCAACCAATATCAGAGACAGAATCTTCAATACCAACGTCAACACAGTTCTACTGTATGGAGCTGAAACTTGGAGAACTACCACAACCATCACCAAGAAGTTATAATTATTTATGAATAGTTCTCTACGCAAGATACTCAACATCCATTGGCCGGATACCATCAGCAAAAGCCTTCTGTACGAGAGGACAAACAAATTTCCAACTGAAGAGGAAAGTAGAAAAAGATTATGGAAGTGGATAGGACATACATTATGGAAACCACAAAGCTGCATGACGAGGCAAATCCTGAAGGGAAACGAAGAAAAGGAAAGCCAAAGAACACATTACGTCGGGAAATAGAAGCAAATATGAAAAGAATGAAAAATAACTGGAAAGGATTGTCCAAGACATGGTTGGATGGGGAGTGGTGGTGGGCGGCCCATGCTCCTCCATGAGGAGTAACAGTGATTAATACCATCTAACAGTGTTTACTCGTTGTTGTTGTTGTTGTTGTTGTTGTTGTTGTTGTTGGTTTTGTCTTTTAGTGTCATGTTCATATCTCCAACTTCTTCTTCATCATTCTCAAGTTCACCGATCATCTATTTCATACACATCACTTGATCTTATTGACTATGTTTGATTTTCATGTGGTGGTGACGGTGGTTGCGGTGGTTGCGGTGGTTGCGGTGGTTGCGGTGGTGGCAATTTCAACCCGTCAATGATATATGAAATCAATGAACACTTTATCAATCTGATCACTTTCTATTTCTTATCAGATCCAATATATCTATGAAATGGATCCAATATCAGTGAATGATTTAATTGAAATGAAATATTGTCAAACAAATTGTTTTTATTTGCCGCTTATCAACAACATCGTCAATTTTTCGCATAATTCAGAGTTAAATTATGATAATATTTTATCATAATACTAATTTGGTAACAAGATAGTAATTAAATCGTGTTATGAGGTCACGATGGGTAACACCATTCTATATTTATCAGGTTATCACTAATTAAGTTTTTCTTATTGTTAACTCATTTGAATAACTTTGTTGTTGTAGATTAAACTTTTACCTTATATGTTCCGCTATTTCTTTCATCACAGTAGGCGTTGAATTCAACTTATTGTATAAATGTGCCTAGATAACATATTTGGTATGTACAAAATGATAAATGGATAAAGTGCATATCTGTCGTTATGGTAACAAAAATTTATCTTAAAGAATGTATAACATTTTTAGAAGTATTTCTGTGTAAGTTATGTGAACGGGGTGGGGTGGGGGGGGAAGGATTCTGTTTGGATATAAATAGAATAATAAATCATAGTATATAAGCATATGTATTCTTGATTACAGTTTGTATTATTATGTTGCATAACATGAAGTTGTATTTCGTTATATCTCTTCTCGTGTCGTTGGCGATCATTACAACAAATTGTAAGTAGCATATGATTAATAACATTGACAATATACTAACTTAACATTCATTATATACAATATGATGTGATATGTATTATGAGAAGCGGGTTTTGTAGAGATTTTAATAACTCAGGATCGATAGGTTCTGGATTTGAATGTCGTGGACGCTCACTGTTGAGAAGTCACATATTAGGAAGAAACGGTCATCCAGTGCTTCCAGGTTTACCATAGTGATCTAGCTCCAATTGATTCATGATCTCAACTATTAAAATTATTATACTATCCACGAAAACCGTTTTTGATAATTTAATGTACTTACTTGCTTACTTAAGACTGTTACTCCCAATGGAGCATAGGCTGCCGTACACCATTCTCTAACCCACTCTGTCATGCATCTTCTTTTTTAGTTCTATCCAATCGTTTTCCATTCTTCTCATATATGTATCCATTTCTCGGTGTAATTTAATGTAATTGTTAATATTTCTTTAAATAAGAAAGATTAATGGGTGTATTTAATATCAGATGGGTTTTGTAGATATTATAGTAAGTAATTCTAGTGAGAAGTAGTGATCAGTGGAGTTCAACCAGGACTGTTGCGACATAGTAACTCACTGAAGACAGTGGTGGATGTGTCGTTCAATTTCGTGGATTAGTTGAAGTTAGACATTAACACCGTTGGATGCCGGCCGGCCGGCATCTCGTAGGGGGCGAGGTCGTGCATGCGCACAGCTGAGGAGTCCAACAATAGGAGAAAACGGCCATTCAGTGCTTTCGGGTTTTCCATGGTGGTCTACTTTCAAATGACTGATGATCTTAACCATTTAAAAAAATTGTTCTTTAGTATACATCTATGATGAATTTATAATCGATTACGATTGAGTGTTTGTAGTAAATTACTTTATGACTATAAAACATTAATTCATAACAGTTGAATGAGTTGACATGATTCTTTGAGTATATTAAAGGTGAACATTCTATAGACGATCTTAGATTAAGGAAATTTAATGACTCAAATGATGGTCTATTCATTTTTTGAATACTACAAATTGAAATCCATCATTGATGCTTCAAGATCTATTAGGTTGGTTAGTTAAACATTTTAAATCAAGCTCTCTACTTTCTAGCATTTGAACTCTATTAACATGTATAAACAAGTATATATATTGTATTTATGTGAGATGATATATGAGCTTTTAGTAAACCATTTACAATATTTCTATTTGTGTAGGTAACGGAAAGGAACTTAAAAATCAAGGTATTCAAAATGATTAGAATGCAGTAGTGTTTTTAATCTGTTAGATGAGTAAATAAAATCAGCATAGATACAATAATGGTTTAATTTGTTTAATGTGGTTGGTGTTTTTTTTCTTTTTGCAAGATGTTTTCCACAGAATGAGGTTGCCGACCTCATGTCCAACCCTCCTCCTTTATTCTGGGCTTGAGATCGGCAGTAACTCTAGCAGAGCTACAGGCGGAGTTAGATACAATAATGATTATGAAAATAAGCATTTTTTCTTTTTATGTAAACAAACCATGTGATTAATAATATAATATTATACTATATTTCTGACCACTTCTTCAGAAGTGATTTACATTAAGCTGTGAAGCGTTATAAATACAAGTTTTCTAGTCATTGAGATAGTAACTCACTGAAGACAATGGTGAACGGTGGCTCGGTTTCGTGGATTGGATGCTGGCCGGCTCAGTGGTCTAGAAGTTAGACGTTCACGCGCGTTCTCGGTTCGAATCTCGTGAGGCGAGATCGTTGACGCTCACCTTTTAGGAGTCCTATACTACGGCTAAACAGCCTTCGAGTGCTTATAAGTTTTCCACGGTTGTCTAACTATTAAATAACTATAATATCCACAAAAGCTCCTATTATTGAGATAAAACAAAAAAATATATATTTACCATTAACTTTCGAATCAATGTTCAATTTATTTGAAACTACCGTATTCAACCTTGGCATTAATACTTACATAATCATGTGATTCTTATTTGCATCACAATTAATATGACCCTTAGACATTCAAACACTTAATTAATGAATGGATATACTCAAACGAAGTGCAGTTTTTGTACCATCTTCTTTTTTCCAGATCCCCACGAGTTTAATGTTGTAGAAGATACATCAGGTAAATGAATATGCTACAATCCAATGTTTAATGTTACCAAAGCTTCAAAAGTAAAACAAACGGGAACACATATATCCCACTTTCTTATTATCATTAACAAATTCATTAACGATAACTGTTAATTTGTAATGCTCATGTCCTGAATGACATAGATGACTTACTCAATTACTTACTTACTTACTTACTTACTTACTTGCTTACTTACTTACTTACTTACTTACTTACTTACTTACTTACTTACTTACTTACTTACTTACTTACTTACTTACTTACTTACTTACTTACTTACTTACTTACTTACTTACTTACTTACTTACTTACTTACTTACTTACTTACTTACTTACTTACTTACTTACTTACTTACTTACTTACTTACTTACTTACTTACTTACTTACTTACTTACTTACTTACTTACTTACTTACTTACTTACTTACTTACTTACTTACTTACTTACTTACTTACTTACTTACTTACTTACTTACTTACTTACTTACTTACTTACTTACTTACTTACTTACTTACTTACTTACTTACTTACTTACTTACTTACTTACTTACTTACTTACTTACTTACTTACTTACTTACTTACTTACTTACTTACTTACTTACTTACTTACTTACTTACTTACTTACTTACTTACTTACTTACTTACTTACTTACTTACTTACTTACTTACTTACTTACTTACTTACTTACTTACTTACTTACTTACTTACTTACTTACTTACTTACTTACTTACTTACTTACTTACTTACTTACTTACTTACTTACTTACTTACTTACTTACTTACTTACTTACTTACTTACTTACTTACTTACTTACTTACTTACTTACTTACTTACTTACTTACTTACTTACTTACTTACTTACTTACTTACTTACTTACTTACTTACTTACTTACTTACTTACTTACTTACTTACTTACTTACTTACTTACTTACTTACTTACTTACTTACTTACTTACTTACTTACTTACTTACTTACTTACTTACTTACTTACTTACTTACTTACTTACTTACTTACTTACTTACTTACTTACTTACTTACTTACTTACTTACTTACTTACTTACTTACTTACTTACTTACTTACTTACTTACTTACTTACTTACTTACTTACTTACTTACTTACTTACTTACGCTTGTTACTCTCAGTGAAGCATAGGCCGCCGAACAGCCTTCCGAATCTCACTCTGTCGTGGAACTTCATTTCTAGATCTATCCAATATTTGTTCATTCTTCTCATGTCTATCTCCATTTTTCGGTGTAATGTGTTCTTTGGTCTTCCTCTTCTCCTTTGGCCTTGAGGGTTCCAGGTGCGGGTTTGCCTTGTGACACTGTTGAGTGCTTTCCTCAATGTGTGTGACATAGATTATCACACATTTATACAGTACAGACCAATTTATAATTTATGGAAACATTTCGTTAGTTTGAGTTATTCAACTGAGGAATACCATTAATGGAAGTCTACAATGAATCAACGTTATTCCATAATGTGATAAGCAAACATTCTTTGTTTGTTGTATTTCATTCATTCAAAATCTTTATTGAGTATAAATCAATTTTTTCTTTCTTTCTCTATCTCTTTCATTTCAGCTGATCGTCGTGCAGCAGTTCGAACTCGTCGTCGAGGTAATTCAACGTATATTATTCAATGAAATTCCAGTTTGATTTTATTTCTGCATATTCATTATGGAATATCAGTGATAATTATGTGCATGATCTAGATGATCCCCATTAAATTTGTTCATTTTAATCCACAGTTTTTATTCATGTTTCACAATGATCACTTATCACTGCTTATGTATTATGGCATATGTGTCTACTTAAGAGTCCCTTCTAAGGCTACTACCGGTCCCAAACTCCAGTAAAGAAGGAGGATTGGGCATGGGGTTAGAGACCTCACCCCGTAAAAATAACACTAAACAGAAAATAATTCAACAATTTGTTGAGGGGAGGAAGGAATAAAAGTTGATAAACTGAAACAGATACCTCAGTATATGATATATCCTATAGATGTATCTTTAAACGAACAATGAAAACTTCATTTATCCCAATTACGATTCGTTCATCATTCTCTATAGAATTGTTAAATGAATGATAATAAACAACCGCACAGTTTTACTTACTTACTTACTTACTTAATTAATTAATTAATTAATTAATTACTTAATTACTTACTTACTTACTTACTTACTTACTTACTTACTTACTTACTTACTTACTTACTTACTTACTTACTTACTTACTTACTTATTTACTTACTTACTTACTTACTTACTTAATTAATTAATTAATTACTTACTTACTTACTTACTTACTTACTTACTTACTTACTTACTTACTTACTTACTTACTTACTTACTTACTTACTTACTTACTTACTTACTTACTTACTTACTTACTTACTTACTTACTTACTTACTTACTTACTTACTTACTTACTTACTTACTTACTTACTTACTTACTTACTTACTTACTTACTTACTTACTTACTTACTTACTTACTTACTTACTTACTTACTTACTTACTTACTTACTTACTTACTTACTTACTTACTTACTTACTTACTTACTTACTTACTTACTTACTTACTTACTTACTTACTTACTTACTTACTTACTTACTTACTTACTTACTTACTTACTTACTTACTTACTTACTTACTTACTTACTTACTTACTTACTTACTTACTTACTTACTACTTACTTACTTACTTACTTACTTACTTACTTACTTACTTACTTACTTACTTACTTACTTACTTACTTACTTACTTACTTACTTACTTACTTACTTACTTACTTACTTACTTACTTACTTACTTACTTACTTACTTACTTACTTACTTACTTACTTACTTACTTACTTACTTACTTACTTACTTACTTACTTACTTACTTACTTACTTACTTACTTACTTACTTACTTACTTACTTACTTACTTACTTACTTACTTACTTACTTACTTACTTACTTACTTACTTACTTACTTACCTACTTACTTACTTACTTACTTACTTACGCTTGTTACTCTCAGTGAAGCATAGGCCGCCGAACAGCCTTCCGAATCTCACTCTGTCGTGGAACTTCATTTCTAGATCTATCCAATATTTGTTCATTCTTCTCATGTCTATCTCCATTTTTCGGTGTAATGTGTTCTTTGGTCTTCCTCTTCTCCTTTGGCCTTGAGGGTTCCAGGTGCGGGTTTGCCTTGTGACACTGTTGAGTGCTTTCCTCAATGTGTGTGACATAGATTATCACACATTTATACAGTACAGACCAATTTATAATTTATGGAAACATTTCGTTAGTTTGAGTTATTCAACTGAGGAATACCATTAATGGAAGTCTACAATGAATCAACGTTATTCCATAATGTGATAAGCAAACATTCTTTGTTTGTTGTATTTCATTCATTCAAAATCTTTATTGAGTATAAATCAATTTTTTCTTTCTTTCTCTAACTCTTTCATTACAGGTCGTGGTTCACCAACATATAAAGGGTATGGTCAAGGTAATTCAACGTATATTATTCAATGAAATTCCAGTTTGATTTTATTTCTGCATATTCATTATGGAATATCAGTGATAATTATGTGCATGATCTAGATGATCCCCATTAAATTTGTTTATTTTAATCCACAGTTTTTATTCATGTTTCACAATGATCACTTATCACTGCTTATGTATTATAGGTTAAGTGTCTACTTAAGAGTCCCTTCTAGGGCTAGTACCGGTCCCAAACTCCAGTAAAGAAGGAGGATTGGGCATGGGGTTAGAGACCTCACCCCGTAAAAATAACACTAAACAGAAAATAATTCAACAATTTGTTGAGGGGAGGAAGGAATAAAAGTTGATAAACTGAAACAGATACCTCAGTATATGATATATCCTATAGATGTATCTTTAAACGAACAATGAAAACTTCATTTATCCCAATTACGATTCGTTCATCATTCTCTATAGAATTGTTAAATGAATGATAATAAACAACCGCACATTTTGACTAATTCAACATTCTTGTGTAGACATATCAATTTCATAAATCTAAGTTGTATTAGGTGACAGAACATCACCTCAGTCTGGTTGTTGTCGTCTTAGTTGTTGTTATTGTCATTTAACGATACCATTATTTGTAAGTTCAAATTAAACATCGTCATTATATCTTTCATTAGCATGATTACACTCAATGATGATAACAGTTTATATGGTTAATGAACACCAGACCGAAGTATCAGAGTCTATGCTAATTAGTACATCATGTCTATTGTTTTCATGCCAAATAACGGGTGAAGATATATTCCATTGCCATTCACTATTTTCACCTTGAACTTGATGGCCAATCAAAACGAAGCTGGAATTATTATTTACATTATCGTACTCCATGATGGAGAGCATGTTTCGTTTTCAGTGTTTTGTATTGGCTTACATAGAAAAATATAAAAGTTTCTACAATGAATATATCACTCCATCATGTTATGGACTTGTTAAGTGTAGTGCACTCAGTTATAATAGAAGAAAAATTACAACATAACGAAAGTGATACCTCTAATTGATTTCTCCAACCGATTGACTAAATGAACGACAACACAACGTTAATTACCAGTATGGGGGTTGTGGAGATTATTACGTTTTTGATTGAGATCATGGACCGATTGATGTTAGACCACCACCTTTGGAAACCTAGAAGCACTGGGCGGCCGTTTCGTCCTATTGTGGGACACTATCACAATTGGATGCCGGCCGGCTCAGTGGTCCAGTTGGTTAAGCGTTCGCTCGCGAGACCGAAGGCCCTGGGTTCGAATCCCGCGAGCGGGATCTTGGATGCGCACTGCTGAGGAGTCCCACAATAGGACGAAACGGCCGTCCAGTGCTTCCAGGTTTCCAAAGGTGGTGGACTAACATCAATCGGTTCATGATCTCAATCAACAACGTTAATTACTCACTACAATACACTCAGATGACTTGACAACGTACAGTTTATCCTTAGCCTAAATACAATATTCTATTGAAATTTCGAACCCTTCATAGATTATAGTCAGTTGTCCAGTATGTTTTTATAATGAATAAATTCGTGTTTAACCAGATTACTATTTAGTTTAATATAAACAAGAAATTAATGGCATATTGATGGATTGATTCTATCTAGCTGGTTACAATAAGAATAAAAAGTGAGTTCATTTTGAATGTAGTACATTCATCTTACTTTAAAATTTCTCTCTCTAAACGAATGATTGTTATGAAGCAAAGATGGATAGTGGCTAGTAGTGGAATCCAGGGCATGCGTTTCGTCCTATTTGGGGCTCACAAGCTGAATGTACTTGCATCCCAGAGTTGATGTTCACTCCGGGACTTGAATCCAGTACCGTTCGCTTCAAACGCCAACAAGAGACTGATCAATTGCAGTCCTAAATAACAATGGAAATATACAAGTAAAACAATACCAAGTGAATTCGAATGATTGTTACATTCAGATTATTAATGTTTTCAATGTTTCCATCCAGTAGTTTATTATTACCTGATACATTGTTTCTATTCTATTCGGTATCATATTATTCCAGTAAAAGAAATCGTCCATGAACACTGGAAATTGAATAATTTTCAGAATAGGTAACTCTGAATAAATTATTTCATAGCATCTCATTACATTCTGTAGAGTAATTGCCACATTAATAAAGTAATATGTCTTCAAGTGTTTTCATGTATTACTGATGATATATAGAATAGTGATGTATAAATTGGTAGTTAGAATTAATAGATAGTATATTGTGAAGCAAGAATTTTAGCTAATTGCTACTCATTGACTAGGTCAACATACTAATCCATGAGAAATCATGTTACACAGTTCATTGGTGAGACTATAATTTATGGACGATCTTTGAATGACGCTAGACTGACTTTGAGAGTGTCTACTTGATAGCTAGGACCAAATGAGGGTTATAAATGAATATGAGGAATTTCAATTATGATTTAAGGTTAAGGTTAGGAATAAGATTTAAGGTTTTCATCACGAACTGACATTAGCAAAATGCAAGACCTGTTATCTTATACGTCATTGGTTCGTCTATAAATTATAGTCTCGCCAGTGCATCTAATGTGAAAACCTTTGCAGATATCCAACAACCAAGAAGAAGTGACTGTACACCATCTGTTAAACGTGTGTATACAAAGCATTAACACAAGCAATTTGACTGTCATGAGTAGACAATAATTATATACTACTCAAATATTTATTACACAATATATCAAATAAATAAGTAGTAGTAGTGGCAGTAGTAGTAGTAGTAGTAGTAGTATCAACTCAAGAACTTGATGGACTATCACCTAAAACTCTCAGAGTCGATTGATTGACTTAAAATCATTAAATTTTGTTACTGACATCCCTCGACCATTCGACATCATCATCAATACATATTAATAAATTCAAGTTGAAGATACAATACCGTCATCATTCTTATACACTTACTTTAAAGTATTTCTTAGTTAATAAGCATTCAGTTACATTTCAATGAATACCATACTATTTAGAATCTAAGAACAGAATTCCTCATATTCTTAAACGTACAAAAATAGATCTTTGAGTGAAAAAGTTTCAAAGTACATAACAACCAAATCTTTCTCATATATCTAATCTAACTAATGAGTACTATAAGATGTGCATACTGAACCATTACCTTATTGATTTCTTAAGTGATAAACAATGAATATAAATAATAAATATTTGTAATTGATGATTTTGTTTTAATGTTTATTTTATTAGATGAATTAACGTTTAATGGATTCATCAATGTAGATTAGTTAATTAGCAACACTTAGAAATCAATAAAAACAAGTTTACTTATCATAATGTTTGTTTTATAAATTTTACAAATGATCATTTGGGTATCATATCGAAAGAGATATCGATTATGTAACACTTAGTTGGAATATTGGTAGGTAACAAATTTATGTTTCATAAGAGATCAATATGAAAAGAATAGTTTGTCAAATTGAAATGAACCCCCCCTTACACACACACACACACGCAAACGCACACACACACTTCAGGAGAAGATTCGTTATAATTTTCCTAGCTAACAACTTGGAAAATTACTTAGTGAAGTTTACAATTTGAGAAAATATAAATCCATTTGGTGTTGTTTTACTTGTATCTTCTAATTGTTATTTAAGATTGCAATTGATCAGTCTCTCTGATAGTGATATGTGTGAATCCTGTGCGAACTGCTTTGATATTGCCTCAAGTCACAAGTTTTATAAGCAAAGATGTATAGTAGTGAGCAGCGGAATCCAAGACGCGCACTTCGTCATCAGTCGGATGTACCTGCATCTCAGTGTTGATGTTCACTCTGAGACTCGAACTCAGTACCGTTTACTTCACTTAGCTAATAAGTCCTGGTAAGGCTTACGACCTAAGGCAATATCGAGGCAGTCGGCACACGATGCACATATGCCAATAACAGACTGATCAAATGCAATCCTAAACATTAATAGGAAGATTCAAGTAAACAACACCAAGTGAATTTGAAATGTCATCCCATTGCACAAGCAAAGTGTCTCTGAGGACTCCGTAGCTAAGTGGATAACGCGTTGGCGTTTGAAACGAACGGTACTGAGTTCGAGTTTCAGAGTGAACATCAACACTCAGATGCACGTACATCCATCTGATGAGTCCTAAATAAGATGAAGTGCACGTCCTAGATTCCATTGCTATCCATCATTGCTTATTGAGAAAATATAGTTTTGACTGAAAAGTAATCTTGATAATTCGATGAGGAGAAGAAGAAGGTTATCAATTGTCAACTTAAAAGAATAATGTAACTATTGACGTTTGCGTTTTATGGTCAAATAAATAAAATGAAAACTCCGAATCATTGACGTAATCAATTTTGCATTTAAATTCATAGGATCTAAGATGTGTATTTGGAAGGGAAAAAAACGAAATTTATTTGAAATTCTCTTATCTAAGGAACATATGTTAGTAAATACTTTTATCAACATATATAGAAGTTAAACGTTCTTGCACGACATTGATAAGTCCTTGGTTCGAATCTTGTGAGGTGGGATCGTGGATGTGCACTGTTGACGAGTTCCGTAATAGGACGAAACGGCTGTTCAATGCTTTCAGGTTTTTTATGGTGATCTCAACTATTAAAAATTACTAGAATATCCACAAAAACAATGGTTAAGTGATGAAGAGATATTAGCAATCAATAATATTGAAAATCTACCGTACCTAGTTAGAAACAGGTTTAACATAGAACTCTATTGAAATCAGTAACATATTAAGTATCACACAATAGGAATCATCTACTCTTAATGGTTGGTCAATACTATTTTTTTGAGTAAAATGTTAATGCTGATCTCATTTTACAGTTCAGCACTAACTAGTTAAATAGTTTTGATAAACTCAATAAAGACAAGGTCTGGATTCCAATATTAGCCACTATCCATCTTTGCTTAGAATGCTTCTGAATTAAGGCTATATCAAGGCAATACACACAGTATGCAGTGCTGAACATCAATGGGAAGATTCATGTGAACAATATCAAGTGAATTTGAAGTTGACGGGATTGCACAAGCAAGTGGCTGTGAAGACTTAGTAGCTAAGTGGATATTGAGATGGCATTTGAATCGAATGGTATTGAGTTGGAGTGACAGACAATGAACATCAATTGTGAGATGCAGGCACGTGCAGCTGACCAGTGCCAAATAGGAGGAGACGCGCCTCCTGCATTCCACTGCTAACCACCATCCATGATTGCTTACAATGCTTGAGAATTATTGTGATATCGAGGCAATACGCACAGTATGCACATATGCCAATAACACACTGATCAATTGCAGTGCTGAACATCAATGGGAAGATTCAAGCCAAACAATACCAAGTGAATTGAGATTACGTAATTACTTATATTGATTTCAAAGTCTATTGAAGTAATGAAAATAACGGTATATTTCGTGCAATTGTCATAGAAACAAACCCATACCAAATTTTATGTATAAATAAATCATCCAGATCATAATTTATTTGAAATAGGTTTATGTCAAGGCATTATAAATTCAAATTAACTTGGTGTTGTTTTACTTGAATCTTCCCATTGTTGTTTAGAACTGAAATTGTCAGTCTCTCTCTTATTAGCATATGTGTATCCTGTGCATATCGTCTCGATATTCCCATAATTCACAAGCATTCTAAGCAAAGATGGATAATGGCTAGCAGTGGAATCTAGGACACACACTTCGCCTGATTTGAGAGTCGTTAGATGGATGTACCCCCATTCCAGAGTTGATGTTCATTGATCAACTGCACTCCTAAAAACAATAGGAAGATACAAGCAAACAATAATAAGTGAATTAAACTCTACTCTATGACACATGTAAGAAACCATGAAGGCTCAATAGTTGAGTGGATAACGCGATGGCGATTGAAATGAATTATACTGGGTACGAATCCCTGAGTGAACATCAACCCTGAGATGCAGATACATCCATCTGACGAGTCCCAGCTAGGATGAAACACGCGTTCTGAATTCCACTACTAGCCACTATCTAACTTTCATTATAAATTCATATACAAAAAGCATACCTGTAAGCCAATGCTTATCCACAAACAGTGATTACAAAATACTATCATAATCTAACCCTGAATTATGAGAAAAATTGACGGAGTTGTTGATAAGCGTCAAATAAAAACAATTTGTTTAATAACATTTCATTTCAATTAAATCATTCACTGATATTGGATCCATTTCATAGATATATTGCATCTGATAAGAAATAGAAAGTGATCAGATTGATAAAGTGTTCATTGATTTCATATATCATTGACGGGTTGAAATTGCCACCACCGCAACCACCGCAACCACCGTCACCACCACATGAAAATCAAACATAATCAATAAGATCAAGTGATGTGTGTGAAATAGATGATCGGTGAATGTGAGAATGATATTCTTATGTTTAGAATGTCCATTAGTTTCGCAAAAGTTCGTTGGAACCTGAGAATGATGAAGAAGAAGTTGGAGATATGAACATGACACTAAAAGACAAAACCAATAACAACAACAACAACAACAACAACGAGTAAACACTGTTAGATGGTATTAATCACTGTTACTCCTCATGGAGGAGCATGGGCCGCCCACCACCACTCCCCATCCAACCATGTCTTGGACAATCCTTTCCAGTTATTTTTCATTCTTTTCATATTTGCTTCTATTTCCCGACGTAATGTGTTCTTTGGCTTTCCTTTTCTTCGTTTCCCTTCAGGATTTGCCTCGTCATGCAGCTTTGTGGTTTCCATAATGTATGTCCTATCCACTTCCATAATCTTTTTCTACTTTCCTCTTCAGTTGGAAATTTGTTTGTCCTCTCGTACAGAAGGCTTTTGCTGATGGTATCCGGCCAATGGATGTTGAGTATCTTGCGTAGAGAACTATTCCTAAATAATTATACCTTTTTGGTGATGGTTGTGGTAGTTGTCCAAGTTTCAGCTCCATACAGTAGAACTGTGTTGACGTTGGTATTGAAGATTCTGTCTCTGATATTGGTTGAAAGTTGTTATGAGTTCCATATGTTTTTCAATTTTAGGAATGCGGCCCATGCTTTGCACATCCTCGTCTTGACATCGGCATCCGATCCTCTCTGTTCATCGATGATGCATCCCACGTAGGTGTAGGATTCCACATCTTCCACAGTTTCGCCATCAAGAGTGATTGTATTGGTGTTCTTCGTGTCGTAATTTAGGACCTTGTTTTTCTTCTTGTGTATGTTGGGGCCTACTGATGAAGGGACTGCTGCTACACTGGATGCCTTTATCTACATTTGTTAGTGTTTATGGGATTGGAAGGCTAGGTCATCTGCGGATTTCAAACCGTCTAATTGGTTCTGAGCTGTCCATTGTATTTCGTGTTTTCCCTCAGACGTGGAGGTCTTCATAATCCACCCGACCACTGAAATAATGAGGAAGCGGTAAAGTAGACAGTCTTTTCTGACTCCGATGCTTGGTTGGAATGTATCTGTCATCTGTGCTCCATACTCGACTTTGTAGTGTAGTCCGTTGTATGAATTACGTATTATGTTGACGATTTTCTCAGGTACTCCATAGTATCGAAGAAGTTTGATTGTTATATGGTGATGATAGAATGAGAGTTATGACGTGGTGCTTTATCGTTGAGAGTTCAGTTCAAATTGTTGAATTGTTTGGACAGATAAAGTATGTGAATCATTAAATTGTAATGCTTCTGAGTTCAAATGTCTGAGATTATGGATGATTTTGAAATGTTTATTCAATGTTTATTCAATGTGAGATTTCCAACGAACTTTTACGAAACTAATGGACATTCTATTCATAAGAATATCAATTGAGGGAAATTTCAAATTCGTCTACGACGTATTGTCAAGTGAATCCACAGACGACCGACAATTGATTTGTGTAGTGTGAAATTGAGTTACTAGTTTTCTTCTGAAGGACGAATGTTTCGTATGTATATCTTGTATATAAATGGGAAATGTAAATTGTGAGTCGAAGGGTCGTGTTCTCGAGACTGACCACTGAATGTTAACTGGGGTGAGGTTAAGTGGTGATCTTTCATCGATTCCTTGAGGTGGATAATTATTTTATTCAAAGTGTAGATTTAAATTACCTAGTTCATTATGAAAATGATAAATACATGGAATTAGATGATCAATTTCTAATATTGTAAAACATAATATAATATAATAACACTTGAATATACAAGTGAAACTGAAAACGGAAGCTCAAACAGCAGCTTAGAATATGTACAAAATAAGCGATTCACTTATTATTATTGTTATTATTATTATTATTATTGCTATTATCAAGGAAAGATATATAGTGGCTAGCAGTGAAATCCAGGACACACGTTTCGTCTTATTTAAGGCTCGTCAGCTGGATGTACCTGAATCTCAGAGTTAATGTTCACTGTTCAATTGCACACCTAAAAAACAATGGGAAGATACAAGCAAACAATAACAAGAGAATGAAACTTCACCGCATTGCACGAGCAAGTGGCTATCAAGACTCAGTAGCTGAGTGGACAACGCGATGACGTTTGAAGCGAAAGATACCGAGTCCGAGTCCTGGAGTGAACACCAACTCCGAGATGCAGGTCCATCCATCTGACGAGTCTTAAATAGGACGAAACGCGTGTCCTGGATTCCACTGCTAGCTACTATCCATCTTTGTTTATAAAGTTTGTGGCTTGATGCAATATTGCGGCAGTTCGCAGACGATTCATATTCGCCAATAAGAGAGAGACTGATCAATTGCAGTCCTAAGCAATAATGGAAGATACAAGCAAACAATATCAAATGTATTATTATTATATTTACTTACATTCATTTCCTCTTCTTTCAACTAGATAACTTACAATCCTAATGAGTAACAAATATCTTTTGAGTATACCTGTTATTCTCTTGTTACAAACTGTCATAATGATATAGTTTTTCACTTTCTATGTAGATATTCATAAGGTTTTGTTTAAAGCATCCTAAACAACTCTTATGTCGAACTTAGTTCTTTTTCAAATTATTGACTAATCTATTTGAAACTATAAAACTTAATACAATTAGTTTTGATAAGAATGTTTATTTACTTACGCCTGTTACTCTTCATGAAGGAGCATAGGACGTCCACGACCAACCCAGTTTGTTTGAAATACATGATTTATATCGCGGAGGCTGAGATTGGTGTTCTGTACTTAAGAAAGAGGCAGGGCTAGTTTGGAAGAGGGACCGCAAAGACTCTAGAATGCTAGTACGACTTTTATGTGTCATTGATCCAGTCGATAAGTCACTGTTCTGTAATTGGCGTTGTCATTACGTTATATATAATAACAGGGCACAAGGCCACAAGGTATAACAACATTGAAATTGTTTATTGTAAACTTTCAACCAAAAATACAATCATGGACTCATGAAGAATGATCACAATGTTTTTGATATATCATATTATTATTATTATCAGAAGGGATTTTGTGGAGATTTTCGTAGTTTTATAGTTGAATTCATGAGATAATCGTAGACGATAGTTGAAGTTAGACATTAACACCGTCAGATACCGGCTCAGTGATCTAGAGGTGAAGTGTTCGCACGTGAGACTGATAGGTCGTAGGTGCGCACTACCAAGAAGGAGTCCTACAATAGGACGAAACGGCTTTCCAGTGCTTCCAGATTTTCAATGGTGGTCTAACATCAATCGATTCATGATCTCAATCAAAAACATATCTTCCTATTTGAATTATACCATTGATTATAATGATATCGTCTAATATATTGATTATTTTTAAGGAAGCATCATTGAATAATACATCTAATGAATTCCTGTTGATCAATACTAGAATCATTCAAATACTTATCATTTAGAAATTTTGTAAATCTTCCTAGATCTTTATTGAATAGTTCTTTTGAAGGATTTCAACAAATCAATTCATGATTCAGTATAGTAGTTAAAGTATTGTTATTATTATTATTATTATCGTATAGTTCATTATTAGTGGGTTCTTTTGTAATGATATTCAACTGTGATAAATTTGATACTTTCCATGAAGTATGTTTAAAGAATTGAGTAGTTTTGTCTTTTCTAATCCAATTCATTTCATGAATTGATTCTTTGATTGATGATAATAATGAAAGTGGAGTATTGAAGTTCATCAGTTATACAATTGAAACAATCAGTATAGAATAATAATAATAATAAAAGGATAATTTGATAAGAATTCATTTCAAGATGGTGGAGATTTGTAGCTCAGGTGGATGATTTTGATGGAGTTTTGTTCTCTGAGCTGGATAGTTTCATCAGAGAACAAAACTCCATCAAAAGAATTCATTTCAATTTAACTATACAAATCACTAGGAATATTAATGAAAGTAATAGATCTTTATTTGTAAATATACTCGGTTTGTTGTTAAGGTTACTAATATTTACTTTCAACAAGTTGATTAATGATGATCATGATTTCAATCTCCTTTCTGATTGGTTCAATTTACTAATTCATTTATTTTTCCCAAATTTTTTTTCTTCAATTTATTGTCCAATGAGAATAGTTACAAATACTTCTCCCACCCCCTCAATATATATAAATATCAGGGGAGAGGGAGAGAGTACCTTATGTTAGATATTAAACTTACACATAATCATATGAAATCATGCGCCTAGTTACATTTTATGTAATCTAAAAAATTCTCAAATTTTATCAAACTCAAAGTCGTTGTGATGATAGTAACTAATGAAATATATCTATCATCGAAAATCTATCATTTTACCTAATTAATTCTTGATTAAACTAATGTTGACAATTTCACCCAGTGTAATTGTTTTTAGAGCAAACTAAAACATAATTTTTACTTTTAATAGTTGAAATCATGAGTCAATTGAAGCTAGACTAATGCAAGCACTGGACGAACGTTTCATCCTATTGTGGGACTCCTCCTTGGCAGTGCACATCCATGAACTCACCTCTTGGGATTCAAACCCGGGATCTATCAGTCTCACCCACGAGAACTTAACCACCAGACCACTGAACCGGCATCCAACGGTATTGATGTCTAACTTCAACTAATCCACGAAATTGAGCGACACATCCACCACTGCATCAGAGAGTTATTATCACACGACTGACCTGGTTGAAATCCACTGGTCACTGTTTCTCACTAGAACTCCAGGATATACATCTTGAAGGCAGTCACTAGTGAGCATATGTTGATTAGTATCAGAAGGGGTTTTATGTAGATTTTAGTAATTTCAATTGTCGAGACCATGAGTGCTCGCGCGCGAGATCAGTAGGTCCTGGGTACGAATCCTGTGTGGAGGGGTCGTGAGTGAGCACTACTGAGGAGTCCCACAATAGGACGAAACGACCGTCCAGTGCTTCGAGGTTTTCCATGGTGGTCTAGCTTCAATTGACTCATGATCTCAGCATTTGTCATTATTTTTTGGAATTGACATATTTTTGGTCCACCACAATTACGAGTGTTACTAACCAAAACGTCTGTACTCTAAGTGATATATATACTGAAGGCTTAGTCCTGCGTAATGTTAATATCGACAGTTAATAATTATCCTGCTTCTAATCCATTTGATGGGGTCAATGAGAAAAGACTTGTAGCGGTAAATAAATCCCCAAAATAAATAGCACTAAGTTTTCGACATTGGATGCTGACCATATGTTTTAGTGGACTCACCTAGCTGAAGGCGCTCAATCAGGCATCCGCACCAGATCACGTGTGGTAACGCCGTGCTCAACATCAACCGCAATCGCTAGCCAGATTAGATCAGAGAATTCCGATATATTGGTCATCACCAAATATACTCTTCCAATCTCCTCGACTCTGTCTTTTGATTTCTCTGGGCGGGAACGAAATATATTAGAAGGTGTTACTGGTAGAAGCGTTGTCAAACACTGAATACCTGTGACATCATCATTGGTGAAACCGACGTGATCTGGTACACCTAATTGCAACTGTGAGTCTGTTCCTTTTTGGGATTTTTATATATCATTGCCTTATTTTTTTTTAACTTTTTTAAACATTGTGATTTTTTTCGTGTTTTTTCCTGGATATATATATTTTCCCCTTGTTCATTATCGTACTTCATACTTCATCATGACTGAACAGACACCTAAAGTACTCAAGCTTAAGACTTTGTCCCCGCCTTCGTTTCAACTGATGCCTTTCTGGCCCGACAACATCGAAGCCTGGTTTTGCTACGCAGAAGCCGACTTCTCCGAGCACGGCGTGATCGACACACGTGCACAATTCCTCGCAGTAGTCAAGGCACTACCGCGCGAATTCAACAGGTACGTAACACCTAGTATGTTTACTAGTGATGTTTCCGATCCTTACGAAATCTTAAAACGCTAGATTCTTAAACGAGGAGACCTAACCGATCGACAAAGGTTAGATCAACTCTTCAACAATATCGACCTGCAACACGGTTCTGCAACGGACATGTTGCAACGGATGAGAGAGGTAATAGGCCCAAGAACTTTCGACGAAGGCCTATTCAAACAACTCTTCTTGTCAAAACTTCCCCAACAGGTGCAAGCAGTTCTGGTCTCGTTCCAGAACAATGCCTTAGACGAGCTAGCTGCATCTGCCGACCGCATTTTAGCAATTACGAAACCTTCTACTACCGAGGTATTTTCAGTCAAAGAAAAACCTCAAACGACTCAGAATGATATAAACGACTTATGTCACACACTCACGCGTTATCTTAGTCTTCGTACCGACCGTAAAAGATCGCGCACACCACGTAGAAGCATTTCTCGTAAACGATCTGTCTCTAGACCACGAGAGACAGATAACCCCGACTGGTGCTGGTATCATAACCAGTATGGAAAGTTTTCCAGAAATTGCAGAAAACCCTGCAATTTTCCCAACACGAAACCGACTGATTCGAAAAGCAATTCGGGAAACTTCCAAGCCGGCACGCGTTAACGGCAACCGTAGCCGGCGAACAAAGCCGTCTGTTATTCGTCACAGATGTGACAACGAGAGTTCGTTACCTCGTCGACACTGGCGCAGAAGTTAGCGTTCTCCCAGCAAATCCTAACGACCGACTACACGAATCGACCCTAAACTTACAGGCGGCAAACGGAAAACCGATCGCTACGTATGGCAAAAGGTACGTTTACCTTAACGTGGGTTTACGCAAACCCATCCACTGGATTTTCGTTGTTGCAGATGTTTCTATGCCAATCATTGGTATGGACCTTCTACAACACCACAATCTGATCATCGACACGCGCAAACGGAGGCTAGTAGACGGAAACACTAATTTGTCGGTTTGCGTAACTTCTTTTACTGGTTGTAGAGTATCCCCAGTCACAGTTAAACATATGATAGACCCACTCTATCAGCCACTACTCGATAAGTACCCTGGGATACAACAAACGCAACCGAGATTACCGTGTGTAACCAGCAATGTTACACATCACATCACGACTACAGGACCACCTGTATTCTCTAAAGCACGACGACTAGCTCCGGAAAAGCTAAGGTTAGCGAAAAACGAATTCGATCACATGATGGACTTAGGAATCATACGACCGTCAAGTAGCCGATATGCATCTCCGTTGCACATGGTCCCTAAAAAGGACAGCAACGATTGGCGTCCAACTGGTGACTATCGGCGATTGAACGCGAAAACCATTCCCGATCGTTACCCGTTGCCTCACATTCACGATTTGACAGCTACCTTGAAAGGTACAACTGTCTTTTCGAAAATCGACTTGGTTAAAGCGTATAACCAAATCCCTATGGCTACTGACGACATACCGAAAACAGCTATCATAACTCCCTTCGGACTCTATGAATTTTTGCGAATGCCTTTCGGTCTAAGGAATGCTGCTCAAACATTCCAAAGATTCATAGACGACGTTTTTCGAGGTCTCAACTTCGTACACGCGTATGTTGATGACTGTCTAATCGCAAGTCCGGACAGAGAAACACATCTCAAGCATCTGGATCTTGTTTTCGAACGACTTCAAAAACATGGCATTACTGTAAACGTTCAGAAATGCCAATTCGGAACCGACTCGTTAGACTTCCTAGGACACACTATCGATGCTCAAGGCATTCGACCTCTTAGGACCAAAGTGGCGGCCATTCTGGATTACCCAGAACCGACCACCGTCAAGCAATTACGCACGTTTAACGGCCTGGTAAGTTTCTATAGACGTTTCATACCGAAATGCGCATTACTTATGAAACCTCTGACCGACCAACTTCGTGGAAATGCGAAATCCATTAATTTGGACGACACCGCACGAAAAGCATTCTCCACAGTTAAGGAACTGATTGCTAAAGCAACAATGCTCGCACATCAGGACACCCGAGCACCCATTAGCATCGCAGTAGACGCATCCGACTCGGCAATCGGAGGAGTCTTACAACAATGGGTTAACAACTCCTGGCAACCCTTGGCATTTTTCTCAAGAAGGTTGCTAGACACCGAATCGAGGTACAGCACATTCGGTAGGGAACTCCTAGCTATGTATTGTGCTGTACGGCATTTCCAACACTACATCGAAGGTCGTGAATTCACTCTTTTCACGGACCATAAACCGCTCACTTTCTCGTTAAGCTCCCCTTCTGACAAGTACTCTCCCCGTGAGTCTCGACAACTGGACTACATTTCGCAGTTTACTTCAGACATTCAACACATCTCTGGAGCAAACAATGTAGTTGCAGACGCTTTATCTCGCATAACTTCCTTGAACAGTTTCCAAGGAATCGACCTTCTTAAACTCGCCGAGCTTCAAAAAGAAGACAGTGATCTTCAGCACGAGTTATCGTCCACAACACTTAAACTACGCATCAAACAGATGGGAACAGGTAAGGAAACCTTACTTTGTTACACATCAACAGGTAGGGATCGCCCAATCGTGCCTAAACATTATCAACGCAATGTCTTCAACACATTGCACAAACTTTCGCATTCAGGTGTTCGTGCAACTATCAAGCTTATAGCAGAAAGGTTTTGCTGGCCTGGAATGAATAAAGACGTGAGGGAGTGGGCACGCTCCTGTGTAAGCTGCCAAAAATCTAAGGTTATCAGACACAATAAATGTCCCTTAGGCTCGTTTAAAACTCCCGATGCTCGTTTCGACCATGTTCATCTGGATTTGGTAGGACCTTTACCAGATTCAAATGGATACTCTTATCTCTTAACCTGCGTAGACCGTTTCACTCGATGGCCAGAAGCAGTACCTATCAAGGACATCACTGCTGAAACAGTGGCTCGCACCTTCGTCGAACGATGGGTAGCAAACTTCGGCT